TAAAATGGGATTGCTGTCTGAGGTCCTGGGGTTGAAGCACCCAGATGACCTGTTTGTTGGCATAAGGATGGGTATTGACAGTTTTGCCATCCTTTCAAGCCACGCACCACAGAACAGGACCCTTAAATGGCTGTGTCAGCTTGGGCAAGACAGGCTGGAAAGGCAGGTCAGGGGAAAGTTACAGTCCAGAGTCAGAGAACGCTGATAGGAAGACCGTGGGATAGGCTGACACAAACACAGTATAATTTTCTACCACCAGTTAGACATGAGTTGAGGAGCTGGGTCCTCTCAAAACCTGTGTCTTACATATACTAGTGAAAGTGTAAATTGAAACCTTTTCTGTTGCCACTTTGATAATTCTCAGAAGCACTCCACTCCTCCAGTTTTTTGAGCCTGGCACTTGGGAGGGTTTGGATTTCCACCTGGGACATTCTGTTTTTCCAGGTGTTTGAAACTGGGAGGAGGGGAAGGATTTTCTTCCCTTTGGTGGTGGCACCCCATGGACTGAGAAGGCCACACCTGGTGTTGGTCTGTCTTCCCTGGAGAAGGCTGTACTGACAGCTGGGGGAAGGGCCACATTGGGGTTTCCTGCCTGGTTTTCTTTCATGGCTTTCCCAAAATTGCCCCTTCATTGCCTTAGTAGGGACAACATCATTTCTCAAATTCCTGGGTTTGAGAAATTACATGTACTGGACTTGGGCTGCTGTTTGGGACCTGGAAAGTCCAATCTGAGTCCTCAGTTTAAGCCAGCCAGTTGGGGAAGGCTCTTCAAGGCCAGGCTGGAAGGCACCAAAGCCCACACACTTGAGAGTGCATCTAGCAGAGTATTAGGTATTGCAGGTAGATTTAAGGCAGCCTCTCATCTCTGCCCTTTCCAGTGTCGACCCATTGCTCTGTAGGTGATACGATTTTTGAGGTAGTAGCGACCAGAAGTCCTTCACTTTTGCTGGCAATGTGCCACTTATAAACTTGATAACATTTAAAAACAGCTAGTGCTCTTGATGCTTAGGCCGTGTGTGCCCCGCCAGTGTGACAAGGTAACCTAAGAGAGGAAGAGCTGTGCAGGTTGAGGCAGGTGGTGGTGGTGCAGCAAGTGGAGCACTGCTCTGCTGGCCAGTGTGCGGAGTGACTACAACATGCCAAGACGGCAGAGTGCCTGGGTTAGGCTCTGCTCTTGTCTTTGTCTTCTAGAAGAAGCAAGCGGTGGGGTCTGGGGACCAGTTGGTAGAGGAAGGTTTCTTCTCACCTGCTGTAGCGTTCTCCTTCACTGGTCACTCTGTCAGCTTCTCAGAGCCTTGTCTACCCCTTACCTGGATGGACCGTGCAGTTAGGCTTCATGATGTGCACAAGTGTCTTTGGGGAACTTTAGACTCTTCATTTCTGATTTCTTATCTTTCCTCACTCCCTGATTTTTCTGGAGAGGCCCCATGCACAGAGTGTAGTGTGCCACACCACAGTGCCCTGAGTGTTGGCCAGCTCTGTGAGAGCAGAGGGCCATCCCCCTTTACCTTGGGGTTGGGTTTTGTTTGAATGTTCTCTCCTGCCCTCTTTTTTTTTTTCCTCCTGTTCTGGGGATTGAAGCCCCAGCCTGGCCAAAGCTAGGCAAGCAACACTACTACTGAGCTATGTCCTCAGACCACTTACATATTTTTAAGAAGAAGTCATGCCACTGCTCCACAAAATTCAAATGTGAACTTTGTTTGCCCTGCAGTTCTAAGGTGGCTCCATATTTCTCTGTTGACAGTTCTTAATGGAAATTGCCAGTATCTAGCTTGGTAATTCAGAGTGCCCTTGTAGATCATGCCCTGAGTTAGGATCAGATAATTCACCAACTGCTTTAGTCTGCTCAATTTGAGGCCCATAATTTCGGTTTCCTGCGACTCGCATTACCCTGTGTCTAAACACAGACAGACATCTATGCCTCTAACTGAGCCCTGTCTTAGAGCAGACCAGGATAGTTGAGCTGCACAAAAGAACTGAAGGTCTGGTGTGACAAACGTCCCTGCTATAGTCAGACGACCTGAATAAACTTCTGCCCACCACTTAGTTTTGAGTTATTCTGAATGGGGAACCCACAGCTTTATGGAATCTTTCATATAGGTACTTGTGTCTCTTCTAGTAGTTCTCAGGCTTTTCTATGGTAAAGAACCTATTTTTGTAAGTTCCAGTCTGTTGCAGACCACAACTTTTATAAAACAAATATGTTGCAGCAATTCCAAATTGCCACCAGAGTTCTCAGTGCTTCCTGGTCCTGTACTTCCTGTGTGGGTGGTGGTGGCAGTATGAGGACTGGACTTTGAGCAGCATTGCTCATGGATGTTGGGGGTGCTGCCAACCCAGGAGCGTGCACGGCTGCAGACCTGTGGGTATGCACTGGAGACAGTGGGATGCGCAGAACTTGAAGTTCTGCTGCTTGGTCCTTCTACCCAGTGAGTAGAAGTCCCGGAGGAGACCAGATTGCATGCTGTCCTCACGTGTGTGCAGAGCCTGTGTCCAGCTGCTTCTGTGCAGCTGGTCATTTGTGGTCCTGCAGGAGCACTGGCTGTTTGCTGGCCTAGCACACAGCCTTTCTCTGTGATAGAATGCAGTTCGTACTGTGTTGCAGAGATGCCAGGGGTCATTTCTCCCCAAGACTGTCAGATTGCAGGGGTAGGTGTTCCATGTGAACTTTATCAGCCGCAGAGTAGTGCGGTTAGAAGTGTCTTTGGCCTTCCTGAAGATCCTGGTCCAGTAGACTCACTGGCCCCAAGCTGTTGTGTCACTGTGGACATGCCAGCTGGCAGGGGTGGTGGTGTTGTCTACAGAGGTTGTGCTACTTCAGGGTGCGGGAGTTGCTGATGTAACCATTGAAATGAGTCACTGTGCTGCCCTGCCGTGGAGTTCAGCTCAGAGTCCAGGTCCTTAGAGGAACTCGGAGGCCATTTTTCATCTGCACAGTACATTTTAGATGAAGTCATTTCTCTTGTAATTGGGTAGATTGTCCCAACAGTAGGCAAGAAGGATAAGATGTATTGCCTTTTTTTTCCTCACATGACCTGAAGAGTCAAAGTTCTTCAGTGGTCACTAGCAGTGGTGAGATGCAGCGATTCCTATGGATCTGCAGCACTCAATGGGCTCTGGGCCTGAGCTTGCCTCGAGCAGTGCGACTGGGGCAGCTGTTCAGAAGGCTAAAAGGACAGCCTCTGTGAAGTAATCTCTGGGTGGTGGCAGAAGTCAGGTTGTCCTGGTGCTTGCTTGGCTTTCATCTGCCTTTCACCTGGGACTTGAGCACTGTTGTAACTGTGAATCCATTCATCCTCTCAGCCTGCTGTGAGATGGGTGGCAACCCCCTCCCCAAGTCTTAGTTGACAAGAAACGGTGTTGCCAAGGGCTGTTAAGCCCTTGGTTGTTGTAGTCTGTCAGGCAGTGGGAGCCTGTGTTTAGTCCTTTGCAAATAACTGCACTCTTGGGAAAGATGAAAGTTTTCTACTTAAAAGGACTCAGAGGGAAGAGGAGGACTAGGTGTGTGTGGGGTTACTTTTCTTAGTGCTGAGACAAAGTACTCACCATCTACAAGTTAAAGGAGGAAAGGTTTATTTAGCTTAGTTTGTAGAGGTTTCAGCCCATAACTGGCTGGCTCCAAGGCAGGGTGGCATGGCAGAGAGCATTGCAGAGGAAAAACAGTTCATGGCTGGCAGAAAACAGGCAAGCAAGGGGCTTTAGCTGCCAAATCCCCAGCCCTTTCACTGCCCCCTCTTTTGGGGGGCGGGGTTTGAGACAGGGTCTCACTATGTAGTTGAGACTGAACTATAACTCACTATGTAGTGCAAGCTGGTCTCAAACTCACAGCAATCCTCCTGCCTCAGCCTCCCGAGTGCTGGGATTACAGGCCTGCGCCACCATGTACGACTTCACTGCCCCTTTTAAGTTCTATCTAGACTACCAGAATTAGGTCAGTGTCAAACCAATCAGTGTAGTCATTTAGTAATCGCACACCTTTAATCCCAGCATTGCAGCGTGAATCAGTCATACACTCTGGATCAAGCCACTTCTGAAAAAGCCCCACCTATGACTGCATAGGGTTTTGGAGGCCATCTAGACACAGCCATAGCAGCATGGGCTTGGTATCTGTTGTCAGAGGTCTTGGGTACTTTCTGGAGTGAAGAGGGGTGGGTCCATTCAGGGCTTGGGTAAGACAAGGACTCAGGAACCTTGATGTTGTGTGATCTTGAGGAGAAGTGTTTGGTGAGTCTGCAGGTCCTTATTGGAGAAAAGCAGGGATACAGCATTTTCACATAAAAGCTACAGATTTTTGTGTAATTTTGCCTCCAAAGTTAGAGGTTGGTCTTTATTGTACTAGTCACAATCTAACGAAAGGTGTGTGCCTAGGGTTTGTTTTATAAGGGTGCCACTGGAGCTTGGCAAGAGTCCATCCTCGTCTAGTGTCCTTGGGAAGCGAAAAGGGCCTCCATGTCCTGGCTGAGGGTCTGTGTGGTCCTTGGGCTGGAGGTGGCTCCTGTGGCTGTGTGGGAGCCGAAGCCACTTGAGAACTGCCCAGAACAGAGAGCTGTGTGCCTGGCCAGGCTGAAGTGGGGTGGGTGGGGACAAAATGCAGCCCTTCTGGTAGAAAGGGACTCAGGTACATCCCAGGACATCAAGGCAGTGTGAACAGTGCCCTGGAGCTCTGTCACAGCATCCCTTAGTGAGTGAAAGCAGAGGCCAGCTGACAGAACTGGTAGGACGGTTCAGACCAGAAGGGACAGGCCCTGCGGCTCTGGTGGAGTGGGTACAGGTGGAAGTGGGTGATGGGGTCCCAGGTAGACTTTCCTGTGCCTTTTCAGTTAGTACAGTTTTCCTCAGGTTGTCAACTGATGGTGCTATGTCAGGAAGTACAGACCAACCATTATTTGGTCCATCTTAGAAAATTCAGGAAGCATTCATCATTTCTGTGGTGAGCTGTGATGTTGGGCTGTGTGGTGCATACCAGATAATTAATTTGCGTGCTTTTCTTTCTTTGCCAGGTACGGACATTGCTGCAGGAGAAGAAGTTGCCATCAAGCTTGAATGTGTCAAGACCAAACACCCTCAGCTCCACATCGAGAGCAAAATCTACAAAATGATGCAGGGAGGAGGTCTGTCCTTTACCTGGTGAAATGTGTCACAGATCAGAGCATATGATTTGTCTCGGGGGCAGCGGGGCAGATAGCTGCCTACACCCATGACCAGTTGTCATGCCTTTTACTCAGAGACAGACTCAGATGCAGAAGCCCTCATGCAACAAAAAGAAACATCATTTTAGACTTTCTATACAAATACTATGTTACTTACCTTCTCAGTAGACAGTATCATCTGAAATCCAGGGTTTGTATGAGTTTTACAGGAAACCACAGCTACTGATAACAGTAGATCCCACCAGTGTGGTGCTGTGTGTCACCTTGTGGGGCCTTTCTGAGTGTGGCCCTGCGAGATGCCATGATTTGCTTACAGCTTTAGGGGAGTTCCTTCAGATTCCTTGCAGTTAGTTCTGTTTTCTCTTGGATAAATCAATACTTTGAAATGTGGTGACTTCCATGACCCCTTCTAGCAAAGTCACTGTTGCAAATCTGAAACTTGTGGGCCAGATATGGAACCAGAGTTTTGCTTTTAGTATTGTCTGGAATGCAAAATAGCTTGGCTGGTGGAGCAGGACGGAATTGGACTTGAGAATTTCTGAGTCATGAAGGTTGCAGCACTGGGGCCAGGGATTTAGCTCAGTGGTTCGGTGGCCTGCCTTGCAAGCACGAGGTCCTGAGTTCAATCCCTGGTACCAAAAAAAAAAAAAAAAAAAAAAAAAAAAGAGCAGCACTGAAGGATGGGTCCTTCTGAAGGTCCAGCCTCAGTGAGTGTGGTCCCCATCTAGGAACAGGTGTGTTGTCAGAAGGATGCTTTCCTCCTGCTCTGCAGACCCCTGTCAGGAGTCCCTCCTGCTGTGCACTGTGCTGTGTCATTGGCCCTTGTGCAGAAGGAAAAGGGAGCTCTTGGTTTGACTTTTGAAGTCTTCCCCTCAGCAAAAGCTAACCTGTGCTTACTGGGCTGCTTGCTAGAAACCGACATTCCTCTAAGAGCATCTTTGCAGCAGATAACACCCTAGAGCAACACAGACAGGTCTATGTTCGAGAGCAGTACCCCGAGTTCCTGCACTCTGGTGGCCTTCGCTACAGGAGAAGCTTTAGAGTGCAGTAGGGAGGATCTGCATAGCTCTTAAGCTTCTGACAGTAGAATAGAATGATGCAAGGCAGGATTTGCCTTTGCCGGGAGAGACTTGAACCCTACAAGCTTAAACATAGTGAGGAACACCATCTCTTTGAAGACTGGCAAGCTGGGGTACCTGCAGCAAATGGGGAGAAAAACAGCCTTATAAGAGCCTGGGATAGGTCTGGTGAAACATCTGGCCCTGGCTGGCCAGGAGTTCATTCAATATAGATCAAGTCTGCGCCAGCCATGCTGCTGTTTGCTCTGTGCTGCAGGATGTTGTGCGGCCTGCTGTCTAGGCTTGTGTAGTGTCTCGCATGTGTAGGTGGACTGTTAACCCTCTCAGAGCAACAGTAAGCGCTTCTAAGAGTGGTAGCTCTCATCTGCTCACATTGGTTGGCTCAGGCTGCACTGGAGGAGCAAGTACATGGCTGCGTGGCTGCAGTCCATTCCTTGGAGCTGTAGCACAGAACTCGTCTAGGACTTCTGGAGATGGGATGTAAGTGGGCCTGGTGATGGCTGTGGATGGTGGAGAAGGCTTTCAGGAAACACGCTGTCATCACTGCGGTGTTCCAGGCTGCAAGCGAGGGACAAGCTCAGGAGGCTCTGACCTTCCAGGAGACAAAGAATAGAGCATGAGCAGCCTTGGGCCATACCCAAGAAATTCTACCTGTCCAGAATCTGGTTGGAGCAATTAGTTAAAAACATGAAACAGCAGAAATAAATTAAAATTGGCTGTGTTAGTGAAAGATTGGATGGACAGTGTTTTTATCAACAGTAAGTGTCTGCCGAATAAAACCTAAGGACTATTGTATCTGTTCTTTCCAATCCTAGTATGTGTAAAACATAGGTTGGACCGTTTGTTGCTTCTGTTTGAGACTAAAATACTGGGTGTGGTCTGGGGAGGAGAGAGTAAGGCCTTTGTGTGGAATCCAGGTATGGGATTCACCATAATCTGTATTGTGAGGAAATGTGTAAGAGTGTAAGAGCAGGTAGCATTGACCCTTCACCTCCTTGAGAAGGACCTTGGGTCCCTGTGGAGCCCCTGTACCTGGCCAGCCCCCATTTGTCTGCCCTCCTTATTTGCCCTTGTCTCTTTTCCAGCGGTAGGGGTAGGGGAGTTGGTTGTTTTTGCTTTTGTTTCTCAGTGCTAGGGACTGAACCCAAGCCACACACATGTTATGCAAGTGGTCTACCACTGGCCATATCCACAGCCCCATTTTTCAATTTTTGTTTCTGTCATCCCACAACAAATAATATTGTCTAAAATTGGCCCTGAGATTTAGCTGAGTGGTTCCATTGCCTGCCTTGCAAGCACAAGGTCCTGAATTTGATCCCTGGTACAAAAACAAAAGTATTGTCTAAAATATTTGATAGGTCTCCTTTTAATAATTTTTAAGCATGAGCTGCTGAAAATTTCATGAGAATTTCTAATTGTATTCCCAAGTCCCCACAAGGGAAAGCATTTGCCAGTACCTCGCTCTGGGCCTGGAGTTTTCATCCCAAAAGGTGCTTAGGTTTCTTGGACCCCGTGAGGGAAAGCATCTGTGGTCACCTCTGCAGGTGGCAGTGGCCACTGGGAATGGCACAGCCGTGCTTGGCTCTCTTCTAACCTGCCAGCCTTGCCTGTGACTGCTCATCCATCAGAAGCAGCACTTATCAGGCACAGGTCCGTTTCACATTCTGGGTTTTACTCATATAAAATGTCTGCTCACAGGCTGGGGATTTAACTCACTGGTGTCACACCTGCCTGGCAAGTGCAAGGTCCTGAGTTCAGACCTCATTATGGTGGGGAGGAGTAAATAAAATGTCTGCTCTCACAGAGTAAAGGTGAACAGCCTGTAGCTGAGGAGTTTTTCACTCTGGCCATAGGGCATGTTCTCTTGAGTGGCTTTAGAGCCTCTTGCCTCCTGCTTTGCTGGTTTGGTTTGCTGCTGCCTGCTGAGGATGAACACGTTGCCTCTTCCTGGCTAGGGAACTGTGAAAGCAGGGGCCCTTTTACCTTTTACTGTCCTTTACCTTGAACCGCTTATGAGATAACACTGTTGCCGTAGTAAACACAAAAGAAATCAGAATTTATCTAGGTTAAAATCAAATCTAGTGTATTCATTTCATAACACCAACAATGATTTATAAAGTGTAACATAAAAATAACAGGAGACCCAAGAGGTGTCAGGAATTACATGCGAACTTGAAAAGGTGCCGAAGCTGGGAAGAGCAATGGAAGATGAAGAAAATTGAAGAATAACAAGAAAGACTCCAGGATTAAGCTTGAAAGCTGGGACCAGGTGGAACCATAGCCTGATGAGCTAATGGCCACCTGGAGTCAAGCACGCTCTTTATTTATAGTGTAAGACAAACAGGAAGAGAACTTGTGCTACATGGACTACGTGGCCCATGTGGCCTAGGCTGAACATAGCATGATTGTTTCATGATGGGGCATGCACAGAAAGGCAGCAAGGAAGGATATATAATGTAACTCTCCTGGGGCTGTGCCACCCAGGGTCTACAATCCAGGGTCTGTGGAAGAGAATGGAAGTAGGGATTCAGCAAAGGGCCATCTTCAGGCTCAGCCTGAGGCAAAAAGGCTTTATTGGAGAGCATGTAGGGACTCGTGTGGAGATTTCTTGTGTTCATGGAAAGGAAGCCAGAGATATCAGCTCTCCCACAGTTGCTGTTAATCTCCAGTGGAATTCCAGTCAAGACACGGCAGCTCTTACCTGACGAAGAGTGAAGGGCCAAGGGTAATTTCCATGCCTCTGAGGGAGAGGGACATTCACCCTACCAATACCTCTTACCCAGGGCTGTCTTCGTCAAGGCTGGTGGGAGCAGTGCTGTGCCACATGAAGCCGAGTGTGGGCTCATTTGGTCTTGTTTGTCCCCCTTCCCCTTCTCTGTTTTTTTTTTCAGCTTTGAGTTTATTGGTACATTTTAGGGATACAGTACAGTTACATTCATTGTTGGGATCTTGTACCTCTGTGTGACAGGTCTTGGTTCTCATGTTTTCCCCTTGTCCCTGTCCTCCCTTCACTCCCTCCCCTTCTCTCTCTTTTTTTTTTTTTTT